AAAAATTAAAGTTTATTGATTTATTACACTTACATATTACGCTTTTATAATTATTAGTTGTAAAATGGTCATCAGGCAATATTATCGCTTATCTCAATAATTTGTGAGACAATTAATCGCCCAGCAAAATTTGTTATCGTGACAGGCCTTGAAATAAGGATCTCGTAATTATGACATCTTATCTCATAATTATGAGATCCTGATCTCATAATATGGCATCTTATCTCATAATTATGAGATCCTGATCTCATAATATGACATCTTATCTCATAATTATGAGATATTTTCTCGTAATTATGAGATAAGATCTCGTAATTATGAGATATTTTCTCGTAATTATGAGATCAGGCGTCCTAATTTTTTGTATTTGGTGAATGCAATGCTCTTCCGTACCTTATTGCTCACCAGCAGAAGCATAAATAATACTGTTAAGAAAGCTGATGATAAAGTTGAATAAAAATTTAAGTCTGATTATGAAGTGAAATTAAATATCTGACAGTGATAATTAGTGTGGCTATAATTCCTCACTTCACCATCTGTGTTGGAGCTTCCCGTCTCCAAAATGAGTGTACGCATGGGTCAGAGTTGGCGTGAGGGACCACACATTTTCACGTCAAGTTTGGATTTTATAAATCACAACCTTTGCGTGAGAAGTGGCGTTACGCAAGTTTCTGGGCTCATCTTGTGCGTACGCAAGCTTTATCCGACCCTTGGTCAGGACCAACTCCACGGGGGAAACGAACACTGGTCCTTTTAAAGCGGACCAAATGTGTCAGGTGTAGGTTTACACCCTAAATAAAAACAAACAAGTAGTTACATGAAGTGTCGGACTATAACTAGTGTACAACCACCAGGCAGGTAACCTAACTCAGCAAAACCGTATCGAAAAGGTACATACCAACCGCCTGTCTGAAACAGTCAGCTAATGCTGAAACAATGCTACCCGGAAGTCAAGAAACGGTTCAAACCTGCTCTCCTTTCGGTGAAACGCCATGAGTTTCTTATCACAGCTTAGAATAAGCCAAGCTCCACAAAAGCCCATCATAGTCATGTTTACAGTTACACCAGAGTCCACGTGAAGACGTGTTGGGTCGCTTTAAAATGACGTCATTCACAGTTACGTAATCCTTACACGCTAGCCAGCAGGATTAGAGGGGGCAGGAGCTGTTGTGATTTTATTTATTTTTATTTATTTATTGTAAACCAGAATAGTATAAAACAAATATGTGGAGTACATTTGACAATAATACAGTTTTCAAAACAGACCGTGAAACGAGTAAAATAAAAACAAACAAATAAGTGAAAAACAAAACAATCATAGGCTAGGTATCATATTTATAACTTAGCAATGTTTTCATTGATCGGTTGTGATTTTAGAAAACGAGAAACTTCTTATTGAAATAAACACATTTAGCTTTGGGCACGTTTTCAGCAGTATGGTTTGCAACTGTGAAATAACCTTTTCTGAGGCCAAATCTAATTACGCATAAAAATGTAAAGGAAAAAAAGGGGTGGGGGGGGGGGGGGGGAGGGGAGAGAGACGAGAAACAAACTAAACACAACAGAAGAGGCGTCACTGGGGACGGGGAGGGGGCCTACAGATGAGCGTTACATAAAATGAGACAAACCCACACTGATCCGTGTCTGATCTGCGTCTGGACTGCTGGAACAAAGTGTGCGCAGCTTTTATCTGAAGGTACTACTGATATTTATTTCTTTTTCTTTTTTTTTTTTTGCCCCACAAAAACAGTTCAGTCCGTCTGTGATTAATTATTCTTGATGCTTCTTGAATGGATGCCTGCAGTTGGCATGTGTCTCCATGTCACCTTCATAATATAGCATTCACATTATTGAGATCTTTTTTCTTCTGTACGTGTATCGGCATCTAACTCGTTCCACAATTTTTGTGCTATTTCAACTATTCATCAAAATGTTCAGCTCATTTATGACAATCTTGCTATGACTTTTGGTATTTCAGCTATTTCACTTTTTAAGCCACTTTTTGCCATTGAAAATGAAAAGAGCTGTTTTCAACATCCTGAACATCCTTTAAAATGTTTCAAAGTCTTTACAGAACCTTACACATTTTGTTCTGGTTGTACTCTTTTTCACTTTCTTGTGCAAATTTGTGCTACTTTTTTGCTAACTTTAGCTTTTTTCTGCTATTTCAACTAAAATTCTGCTTCTTTCTGCTATTCTGCTCTTTTCTACTTTTTCTATTTTTTCTGCTAATTTGGGTTATTTATGCTTCTTACTTTTTCGTTTTCTGCTATATTCAGCCATTTGCTGCAAATTTAGCTCATGTTCAGCTGTTATTAGCTAAAGTTAGTTTTTTTAAGCTAAATACACATTTTAAAGCTATTAAATTACAGCTTATTTCTGCTAAGTTCAGCAAATGTGTGCTCTGTATGCTAATTAAAAAATTTCTAGCTACATTTTAGCTGTTTTACTGAAATTCTTAGCTGTTTTATCTATTTTACTACAAATTTTCACTTGAAGTCACATTAACACGTTTGCTATTAAATATTTTCAGCTTAATTTCAGCAGCTTTCAGCTTGTGTATTCAGCAAGAAACATTCACACTAGCATTTTTGCAGGAAATGCAATTTCTCTAGTTGATTTTATATTGATGTATTTCTTGATGCACAGGCAGACTGTGAAGAAAAATGGCAACCTCTTTGCTGAGAATAGGATCCCTAACCCATTTCAAGGTAATACACTTTAAAATGTTTACATTCTGAACTAATTGTGCTCAGAATGAATGAACCGAAGTGTAACTATTGACAGTATACAGTCTGCAAGTCTTTTCTGGGTTTTGATGTTTGCTGCTAACATCAGAAGTTGGTGAGGCATAACATCGGTTCAAAACAACAGCTCATACTGGAACCGCACGCTTCACTGGAGCAGATTTAAACCAGACACGCAGGTCTCCTCCACTGAACTGTAATGGAATTTGACTCTCTGGGTGTAGTTTTCTACATTTCCTCATAAAACCTGTTTAAATGAGCACAGACTTGTTTGTATGCGAATAACAAACTTATGCCAATATGTTTTATCTCCTGCTCTGTTTTCTCTGTACACCAAGAGCATTTCCTGCAACAGTGAAAGGATGTCACTTTTTAAATACGCAGACGATATGGCCCTGTTTGCTAACATGACTGGCTCTGATGCTCTGCCCCGGTACCAGCAGGCAGTTGACATTTTAATCCTAACATTTAATGACAAGTTTTTGGAACTTAATGTCACAAAAACCAAAGAGTTGTGCTTTCGGGGCAGAGATAAAGATGCCAGATCACCTCTCTTCCAACCACTCAGCATCCAGGGTCAGCAGGTGGAACAGGTGGAATCTTTTAAATACCTTGGGACAGAAATTGACATCCGGCTGTCTTCTAAAGAGCACACAGACTCCATTTTTAAAAAAGCACATCAACATCTCCACCTGCTGAGAAAACTGCAATATTTTAATTAGGGTTGGGCAATATTGGCAAAAAAATTAATCACGATTAATTGGGGTATTTAGCCGATAACGATTAATTTGACGATTAATGCCCTGGAGTCCCTGGACACCCTTATGTCTTAGTCACAAGACCAATTTAGTAGGAAAGATTGTTCTTCATAAAAATCTGTTCCAAATTGTGTGAAAATTACAGACTTCAGGCTATAAATAAATTTTTAAATTGTGTTGATAGATAAATAAATTACAGAACCTTTTTTTTTTTAATGTTCGTCATATTTGAAGCGGAGAGGAGCACTGAGCGGATTGACTGGAGAAATCTCCCCTGGTGGCATTAAGCGTATTAATCGTCAAGTGCCAAAAATTAATCGATTAATGTTCTTCTGACGATTAATTGCACACGATGTGATTATGCCCAACCCTAATTTTAATGTCAAGAAAGACATTTTAACTCTGGTTTATAAATCACTCATTGAGTCCATCATCACCTTCAACATTTTATCCTGGCACAACTTCCTCACTGTGAAACACAAAAACAAACTGTTACGAATCAAAAATCAGGCCAGCAAAATAATCGGTTCACCTCAAACCCCTCTTTCTGAACTGCATAACCACTCTGTAATGAGGAAGGCCACCCTGATCACAGAGAACCCCTCTCATCCCCTCCATCGCTCATTCCAGCTGCTCCCATCAGGCAAAAGGTTCAAAGTTCCTCTGGCCCGTAAAGCAATATACAAAAAGTCCTTTGTTCCGCTTGCAATAACTACTCTGAATACTTTTAAATAATAATAGTAGTGTAATGTACAGTATTTAACAGTTGTTTTTAACAGTCCTTTTTTATGTGTTTTTATGGGTAGTTGAGTGTGTTGCATGTATGCTGTCGAAGAAAAATTTCTGTCACCATCTGGGACAGACAATACAGTTATTCTATTCTATTCTATTCTATTCTATTCTATTCTATTCTATTCTATTCTATTCTATTCTATTCATCCAGTTGGCCTTGCTGGCCAACTGGCCTTGAATTCTGTTAGCTGGATGTAAGACCATTTTTTTATGCCACTGACAATTATTATCTTTGTTGGATTCATGAACATTTTCGATGTAGCATAAATATTACTAATCATGTTTCTTCCTTTGAGTTTGTTACTACATCCATCCCATCTCCAAGTGGGAAATCCAAACTTCCCTCTCCCCAGTGACACTCTCCAGCTCCTCCAGGGAGATCCCAAGGCATTTCCAGGCCAAAGAGGAGATGTAGTTGTGATTTGTATTTCTTATTATACATAGAAATTGTTTTGTTTTTTGAAAAAGAAATGAATGCATTTTATAAATAAAATAAATTAATAATTCATTCAGAGAGTTTTCTACTCTTGGAATGACAAACTCAAAACACCTCCAGAAAGAGACATCTTAATTGGATGCCATTCAAGGCAGAGACCTTGAAGTTCCAAACCAGACACCATCCTCTCCATGTGTGTGCCATGACAAATTGAAGAGAAGGAAAATATGAATGGTAACCACAGAGCCCAGAACAACTTTCAAAGAAAGTAAAGGTGAACTCCAACGACAAAGTACATCAGTGTCAGAATGTGGACTTCATGGGAGACGACTAAGGAGGAAAAAGTGAGACTGGAATTTGCCACAATACATATTGACAAGCCACAAAACTTCTGGGAGAATGTCCTTTGGCCAGATGAGAGAAAACTGGAGCTTTTCGGCAAGGCACATCAGCTCTATATTCATAGAAGCAAAAAGTATGCATTCTAAGACTGTGAAACAGGACTCGGTTATGTTCTGGCACATTGTGTCTTTAATTTGTGGAAGGTACAATAAAATATCAAGACTATCAAAGAGTTCTGGAGCGAAATGTGCTGCCTAATGTTAAAAAGCTTGGTCTCCTTGGCAGGTCATGGGTCTTCCAACAGAATTATGATTCAAAACAGTGAAAAACACCCAAGAATAGCTAAGAGCTAAACATTGGACTATTCTAAACTGACTTTCTATAAGCCCTGATCTAAATCCTATTGAACATCTGGGGAAGGGGCTGAAAAATGTCATTTGGAGAAGGCACCCTTCAAATCTGAAGGCCCTGTCACACTAGACAACTTATGCCAACTTATGAATATTTTAAAGACATCTACATTGAGGGTGGAATTGAAAAAATCAACAGGAAGCTTCTTATTGGCACATACATAATGTAATTTGAACAAATTGATCAAATATATAACTTTTATTAGCAATTTAGACATAAAAATGTTTCATAAGTTGGTACAAGTTGTCTAGTGTGACAGGGCCTTGAGACAACTGGAGCAGTTTGCCCATGAGGAGTGGGCCAAAATGCCTGTGTAAAGGCACAGAAGTCCCATTGACACCTAACAGATTTTAATAAAACTCTCAAAAAAGAAGTTATTGAATTGTACTTTTAGATCTGATTAATGTTGAATATCAAGCATAAATGACAGAGGGAAATATGAACATATAACATAGGGAATATATCAAGGAATGCTAGGCCTTTAATTTTTACAGTTATTAAGCTAAAATCTGACGTGAATAGCTGAGAGTCATCCCCAGCAGAATCTTAAGCCTCATTCATAAGACGGCTCAGTCTGGGACTGATGCATGTTCTGTCTCCTCCGAGCTTTCAGGAAAAACACGAAGGCAGAAAGGCGAGTAAAATGAGCCCRCCTCTGATGTGCCCCTGAGCCGAGAGCAGAGGTAGTTTCAGAGCCAGGACCGAGCCTGGCAGGTCGACTTCTGAAGAACCAACCCGTGTGTGTTGTGAGGAAGACGTCACTGCGGCTGGAGCTGGAGATTTATTACTGAGTGAATATTAAAGACGACACAGAACAGCAACTTTAGTTAGTTTAAAAATATTGAATTACCACAGGATCACTAAAGTAAGTTAATTCGGTTTGCTTTGTTTGATACAAGGCGGCAGACGTCTGCCCCACAGTAAATACGTTGTGGTTCATTTCAGCCCAGCTGAGTTCTGCTCCACACCTCTTTTGGTTCCATGCTGCTGAGTTAATTTCTGAACACGTGTGAGCGGGACCTGGCTGCCTTCACTTGTGATTTTATGAATGACTCAAGGGGGAATAAAGACAGATGGGTCTGTGCGGCAATTTTGCGGAATTGTCTTGTGAATCAAGCTTTTGAGTGCTATATGGATCACACAGGATCACTTTTTAAAACTCTGGCATGGAAGTCAACAAGATATGCATTCCTTTTAAGAATTGTTACTTTTTAATTGCTTGTTCATGCTTTTGTTGATGACTGAATGTAATCATGTCTGTGTGTGTTGCCAGTGTTTGCATGCAGGGAGCTTGATCACACTGAGCAGAACACCTGCAGCTGGAGCTTTTAGCACAAAATCTGGAGGATCTAAAAAGTCCAACTCCAAAAAGATGAACACAGGTAGGTACCACAAAGGGCAAGTTCTGTTATCACATTATGAGTTTCAGCCTTTATCACCTACAGGATAAACTTGAAGTGTGGTTGTTCTGGTTGAGGAAAATAAATGCTCAACATCATTAGTGTGTCATAAATAGCATTCAAATCAATCTGTGCCAATGTAGTCCTCAGAATACTGGCTCATAATTTTGTCACTAATAGCAGATAAAAACAATGAAAATCTATAGGATATTATTTTGTGAGTGGGGCATGCTGTATTCAGTTAACAAAAATCAGTTGATCCTACACAAAATCAGAATGATCAGCCACCCTTAATTTGATGTAAACAACATAAAACATCAACAGAAACATCTCATATAATGTCCTTTAAAAAAGTATTTTAAATAAGTCGTTCTCATGAGAGATCTCTCAAAAAATATCCAGCCAACATCTACAGTATCAAGCACAAGAATGTGCTCTGCAGCGCTAAAACATATAAAAGTACAAAGAAAAAATATTGGGGCCCAAGTATATCACCAGTCTTGGATTTTTTTTAAACAAAAGGGAAAAGATAAGAAAATGTCTGACCGGGTTTGCGTCTCTCTTCCCGGTGGTTTCCTCTTCCAGGCCTGGAGCACACTCCAGGATATGGAACTGATCCTCGTTCCATGTGGCAATTAATTGAGTTTAAAGAGGAGAAGTCTTCTTGATTCTTCCATGGTTAGGTCAAGCTTCCCTATAAAGCCCAAAACTTAAATTTTCTATGGGCGAACGCTGGAGCTCCACAGCTGCATTTCTCCTGCCAGACCCCTCTCCTCTTTCAAAAACTCAGTCTCTTTTTATAAGTTCAGGTAAAACTGAGAACCAGATAATTTTCTCTGTGAACATAGACATGGTATACAAGACAATCGTGCATAGATAATAATTAATGCTTTGTGGCAATCCCCTTTATTAAATATTTCCTTTCACAAAATATCTTGTTTTAGTGTGATGTTACAAGTCTAGGACTCAATGCCACACAAGCAGTTCTTAGAGGTTCAATGACTAACAGATTTTTGATTATGTTCTCTTTATATTATTATTATTGTTCAGTGATTTTAGTTCCACAGTTAATTGTTTTCATGAGTGGCCATATTTCGATCTGTTTGTATATTCAGCTCATCACAAGTAATGTACATATTTTTATGAGTTTTTTTATGCTGATTAATGGTCTCTTCACAGATTCATTCATCTGTTAAACATTTAATGCATTGATTTATTATGAAGACAAGTCAGACTACAACATTTCTGAAGAAGACAAGCTTAGACCATCAGAGCCAGTAACTAAAGGGTTTCAGTCCTTTAAAACAGCACAATTATGACACAATTTGGCTAAATATTGTTTTTGTTTTGCATAAAAAATAGAAACTGCTGCTGGGCTTTGTCAACGCTCACATTTTTTGCTATTTTTATTGCCATTCTAATAATTACACATTGCACCAATGTTACAAACCAATCTATATCATTGTTTAATTTCCCTTTAGGGATCAATAAAGTATTTTTGAATTGAATTGAATAACCTAAAGTTTGTACTTTAATTTAACTCTGTGCATTAACCAATGCTGTAACCCTTCTAGTCAAATTATAGGCTTTGATTTAGTATTTTTTCTTTCAAGCATACCACAATACTGATGTTATTTTGTCATATGCTGCAATCCTGATTACAGAGAATTTATGTTCTACATTTGCCATTAATGCAAAAAATAATGAGTTTTGTGTGCTTGCCCTTCTCCTTCATCCCAGACAAAAAACAGCCAAAAACATACTGTGATGCAGAAAAACTTATTCAGCACAAGTCATATGAGTTTCCCAAGAAGGAAGTTTCTTCTGCAGTCACTGCTGCTGCAGCAGTAAACACTGCTGTTGGATCTACACCAGTACCAGAGTCCAGACCCAATGCTGCTGCAGTTGCGACTGTAGCAACTACTTCTGACATGAAGACCCCCGCCTCAGTTCTGGAAGCCACTACCCACTCAATTCTTGAAGCCACTGTTGATAAGCCTGTTTTAGTTGCTGAAGCAATTCCTGCAGTTAAATCAGATTCAGAATCTGCTGTAGCAGGGGAGGACACCTCTGAAGCTGAAGTTATTGCAAAATTTCAACCACTTCAGTCCTCTGAGCCAGTTGTTGAAGTTGCACCTGTTGCTGAAGCTATGTTAGTGATTGAAGCTGTCTCCAAGTTTGCTGCAGTGGTCAAAGATGTTGGTGGTCCTTCTGTTGAAGCATCTTCCTCTACAACTGACATTACAGCTTCTGAAGTTCTTGATGAAGCTGTTCCAGAACCTCTTCAAGAAAAAAACTCTTTTAAGGATGTCCCGAAAAACATTGTGGAACCTGAGCTTACAGGGATAGGCCTCAAGTACATGGCTGAAGCTGCTCCTTTGGAGGAGGCTCCGGAGCCCAAGACCAAAGTTGCGCCAACTGAAGCTGCTCCAGAAACAACAGATAAAAGTGCCCCTATAGATCTGACACCAGAGCTAGTGGCTGTAGCTGTTCCTGTAGAGCCAAGTTTTGAGTCTATGGTTGAAGCTGCCCCACAGCTTGTGGCTAAACTTGCTTCCCCAGAGGTAATTCCTGAGCCTGTGTCTGATGCTGCACCTGTAGAGCCAACCTTCGAGTCCATGGTTGAAACTTCCCTAAAGCCCTTATCAGAAGCTGCTCCTCTTGAGGCAGTCTGTGAATCTGTGGTTGAAGCTTCCCCTGTAGAGTTGACCTTGGAACCCATGGTTGAAGCAGCCACAGATTCTGTAGCTGAAATCACTTTTATCGAGGTGACTCCAGAGCCCATGGATGAAGCTGCACCTATTGAGGCAGTCACAGAGTCTTTGGCAGAAGCTTCTGAGACAGAAACTGAAGTTTCTACCACTAAGGAGAGCTTCATGGAAGTGGTCAATCCCGCCCCAGTCTTTGCTGAAGCTGCAGGAGAAGAGATGGAGGCCGCTGCTGAATCAATTGAACCATCTGAGGGTACACACTACATTGTCTCTCTCCCCTCTATCCTTTTTCTCCCCTCTCTACACCCTGTAGTATGAAAATGAAACATTCTTATTACTGTTTAAAAAATTATACTGTAGCACATTGTTTTACTTACAATAAAAGTGAGCTATAAAAATACTTAATATCCCAAACAGATACTGTATTTCCTTTTTTCTTTGTAGTTTCACATGCACAGTCCCTTTGTATTAACTGATGAAAAAGCATTACCTTTCCCTTCCCTTTCTTTCTAACTTTGGCCAGGGTTAAGCTTTTATCCAGCTTGTTATCTTTTGTGTTGTTTCACTTTGAGCATCTGCCACATGTTGCACAAATTCATGTCACAACTTTTTTGGCTTTATTTATTTATTTATTTATTTATTTATTTATTTATTTATTTATTTATTTATTTATTTATT